CGGTCCCTAAGATAGGATGGTTTTAAGTCTAATGGTTTTAAGTTACAAGAAAGTGGATTTTGATTGAACATTAGATAGAGCTTCTTGATAGTAAGAATGGTTCATCAATGGATCCAATTGCCTAGATGTCTCCTTCTCTGGACATCTTCAAAAAGAGGCTGGACATCTACCTACTGGGAATGTTTTGGCAGGATATCTTCCACTGAGGAGGGTGTTGGACTCAATGGCCCATAATGCCCCATCCAACTAGTATGATTCTAAGAACTGAGCAATTGACAATAAATATATCTACAACCAAATGAAGAAAATCCACTATGTATAACTTGAAATAGTGTTATAAGTTCTTTGGACACTTACCCATTAATTCTGAATCCATGTGTAGTTGTCTCCACTGCTAAATGACTGGCATTCAAAGGGGCTCTATCCAAAAGAATAATCTAATTCCAAATCAGTCCTACTTTTCAACCATGAACTCAGAAAATGGATAAGTAGCCAAGTAAGGTAGTCTTATAATATTGGATACCTCTTGTTTGTGGTCTGGCTAAGCCCTATTCACCTTTTTTTTAAAAAAAAAAAATTATAACCAGAGATGTGTGACAAATGAGTTTTGTCAAGGCGTCCACACCCTCTAGTAAATACATTTGATGTTGTGCATCTTCAAATGGTTTGTGACTAATGGTGAGCCTAAGACAAATGTACCATGGGGCTTTCTTTGCAAGTTTTGTTCAGTGGGGTTTGCCACTGTCTTGCTGTGAAGCTGAGAAAGTGTGACTTACCAAGGGTCACTTAGTGGGATTCCATGTCCAAGTGGGAATTTGAACACACTGGTTTTCAGACCGCTCTAGTTGAACACTCAAACCACACTGGCTCCCAATGAGTGCATAAATGGATATAACTTGCAGCTAGTCCATTCCTGGATTTGTAATGCATTCTAAGTAAAGAAAAGGCAGAGGGGTTAAAATCTTGCACATATTTGGAAAATCCAGGAACAAAAACTCTTAAGTACATTTTCAAAATGCACAGATATTTGACTGATGTGACTTTGCACCCAAGGATGCATCGATTTGAAAAAGACACATAAAAACGCATATGTTTCTGTAAAATACAACTAGTGCATTAATAAACAGAATTAACAGAACAATTCATAGAAAATATCTTTCTGTTAAAAAAAAAAAGCACTAAACTTAAGAAATCTGGAAGGAAAAAAAAGGATTCTTATCACTCTATTCCAGATTCATTTTCATTTTACACTGGAGAAAATGAAAAATAAAATGGTGCAAATCTCAAGGTTGCTTGCATAAAATAAGTTCTCTTCCCTTAGTAGCTTGAAGCAGGTAGAGAGAAGAAACTGTGGTTTGGGTTTTTTTAAAAAAAATAATTTATATTGCATATAATACAACTTAACAAAATTCAGCAGAACAAAATAAAATGTACAGACTGGCAGCATTCTTTCAGAAAAGATGTAATGAATGCATATACATACATTTCTTTTTCTGGCCTTCCAGAGAAGATGTCATTCTAAAGACTAACATGAGAACTAGGTGGATGTAGATTACCTCTGTATCTATTAATAAAAGAAATGACTGGAAACCAATCCATTTTTGACAGTCCTCCAAATGTGTTGGCATTAGTATTCAAAATTCGATACAACAGCGCTGCTAATATGTAAACTGTCAGGGATTTAATAGATAGAACTAATATAGAAAAAAAGCCTAAGGGATGTTTAAAAAGTGTTCAAGAGATCTGGATTTTGAGCACCAGTTTTTCCAGCTGAAATGCATTTGTTCATTTCCTAAATATCTCAATTTGAGGTAGGCTAACATGCATTTGACTATGATTATCATACTGTTGCTGAGCACTCTGGTTTCTCCTTTGCTGTTTCCACTTAAGTGATTTGTACAGATGGAATTTTCCAAAATAGTATCTAGTTTCTCTCCAGGAATCACAAAAAAAACATAAAAAACAGTGTTACACCTTCAAAAAACCCTTTGGCGTTATGTTGGATGGTTTTGCAATCTATTTAAATTTTAAATCTCTTTAGCATTTAAACCAATTCACAGCTAGACTCCTAATATATGGAAGCCAACTTAAGACAATGATCTTGGGTACCTTTTTTTATTTGTTGTTGTTGTGTAATTTCAAGTTGTTTCTGGCTTATGGTGACCCTAAAGTGAACCTATCATGGGATTTTCTTGGCAAGGCTTGTTCAGAGCAGGTTTGCCATTGCCTTCCCTAAGTCTGAGAGAGTGGGAGGCAAAATGGCAAGTATAATTAAATTGTCAATAGCGGACAATTCTAAACACCAGATATGACCCCGTATCTGGAATACTTTACTGTGTACACATCATACCTGTGCAAAAGAGCTTGCATTGACTGCTATCCTGCAACATTTGACAGATGGAAATTGGGACAGATGTGGCCAAGCAATATCAGAGTGTGATCAAGATGGTGAAAGTTATTAATAACTTCTTATTAATGGGTAGAGAGATCTTGTAGAACCTTTGAGACTAACTAAAGAAAGAAGTTGGCAGCATGAGTTTTTGTAGACTTAAATCTACTTCCTTGGATGCATTTGGTAATGCTAAGAATAATCTTGTCCTTCTCAGCAGGATCCGTCAAAAGCAAGCTGCTGCAGACTCTCCTAGCTTGTGTTTTCTTCCTCATTAATAAAAAAACATAAGCTAGGAGAGTCTGCAGCAGTTTGCTTTTCCCTGATCTTGCTGGGAAGGGCAAGATTACCCCTTCCTCACTTTTTCCCCCTGCTGAGCAAATGGAGTCAATTGTCCTTTGGACTCAGTTTACAGCAATTGAAGTAAGCTGAAGATATTGTTTTCCATGCCATAGCCTGCAGATTCCCATTTAGCAGGGAAATGGAGGCAAGCCTTCTCTATGGTAACATCAACCAGAGGAATCATCTTCCTTCTGCAATAGATCGGTCTCAAGCGTCAATGTTGGCATGTTTTTCGACATATTTATTTATTTATTTTGGTAACCTTGGCTTCAAGCCCTCACTAACACTTTAAAACTCTCCCTCTCTCTTTCTCTCTCTTTATGTTGAATTATTGTTATTTTGTCAGACTTTTTGTATTGAATTAGGCTGCTGTAAACTGTTTTGGGATTTGTGGAAACGAAAAGCAGTATAGAAATGCACCTAATAAATATAATAAGCACCAATTATCTAGATTTCTTGCCATTCTGAATTGCTTTTGAGAGAGAGACTCTTGCCCTTCTCATGGTCAATATACACCATGATCAAATATACTTGGATTTATTATTTGTTTGGGGGAACTGTAATATCATTTAACTAAATTACATGCAGGGTAAATTATTGAGTCGTAGTTGTATAGGATAGTGAATGAGTGTGACACAATAGACAAGACAAAAACTCTTCTTCTTTTTCCTCAGTCCAGTTCACTTCATTCTGTTTCATCATTTTTTTTCTTTAAAAAATGCACATCTATTTCCATGAGATGACAGTTCTTTGGAAAGATTGTTCACAAAAATGAAAAACCAAAACACTGATCTGTCTATCTTGAGATAGCTCTGGAGGTGTTGTATTGTTGTGTGCCTTCAAGTTGTTTCCAGATTAAAGCAAACCTCAGGTGAACCTATCACATGGTTGGCAAGATTTGTTCGGAGGGGGGTTGCCACTTCTGAAGATGAGAGAGTGTGACTTGCCCAAGGTCACCCAGTGGATTTCCATGGCTGAGCAAGGTTTTGAACCCAGGTCTCCAGTGTCATAGTCCAGCATTCAAACCACTACACCACACTGGCTCATTACTGTACTTGTTGTTTGCCTTCAAGTAATTTCCAACTTATGATAATGCTTTCATGGGGCTGAGAGTGTGCAACTTGCCCAAGGTCACCTACTGGGTTTCCATGGGGAATTGAACCCTAGACTCCAGGGTCATAGTCCAATGCTCAAACCACTACAGGTTTGCAAAGAGGACATTTTGTCCAGTTGTGTAATTTTATTTTTGTCTATTTGCTTTTGGTCAAGTCTAGAACATGTTTGCCCAAAATTCATGAACACTGTGCTTATTTAAATGCTCAGGTGCTCCCTATTTGGCTCTTTTTGCCCAACCACCCTTATAAAAAACAGAAAGAAAGAAAGAAAGAAAGAAAGAAAGAAAGAAAGAAAGAAAAGTCACACACACACCATGATTTCCTAAAAGGAAGATACAAACTGCATTAGGCATAACCACAAAGCAATTCAAAGACAGACGGAAGGTGATCATGGACCTGAGAAGGTCTTGCTTGAATTCCCATTTTAAATGAATCTCTTTATCACACTTTTTTCCCCCTGAATAGAGGCCATCATCTATTGCTGACATCATCACACACTTATATGCAGTATGAGTAGCTTGCCTTCTATCTGTCATGGTTGGAAATTTATCCTTTGTAGCCTAAGGGATAAAGTCATTGCCCTGGAACTACTGTACGATCCTTCAGGTGCATTCTCTTGCCTTTATACAACATAATGAATGTCAAGGTGTGAGTGTGGGAAGCTGTTCTTTCATCTGTGCAAAATTCATCCTACAGCTTATGAGAGTTGCTCAGCATTTGAGAGTAAGAGATGCAAGGTCTAATTGTAGGGACTGCTTTATTATCATTATTTATGATACGTATTTATATCCCACCTTTCCCCCAGTTTGGAACTTAAAGTGGTTTACAATAGTTGTGTGTGTGTGTGTGTTTTAAAAGACAGAGTTTAAAAATTCATAAATTGCACAGGTTGGAGCCATGACAGTTCAAGTGGTGCCAAACTGCTTTATTTCTGCAGTTTTAATAGTCAATGTCCCACTTGATTTGCTGGAATTGCAGGAGCAGCCAGTGTGCAATCCCATTGCAAAGTGGGACAGGCAATAAACAGGTACCTTGGCAAATACACAATCAGTTTGACATTATCAGTGTTCAGCAGAAAGGCAGTGTAGTGCAACCACTATGTATGTTCTGTAAGGGTACACTAGAATAATGTAGGATCTCAACCACCCTGTCACAACTTTTTTCCCCCTCCAAGGCATTTATAAAACTGTTTTCAGTGGGTGTAGATCTTTGCCCTACCATTCTAATTCTGTCACCAGTTTTGCTTGGGTATTGTTTGGTCATACATTGTCTTGATCACTTGCTGCTGATTTCAATCATTGTTCTATTGTAGTTTTGCAGTTTATGTTTTGAGTTTATTTGCACAGTACCCAGAGAACTCCGGTTGGTCTAAAAATGTAAGAGACTAAATAAATAAATAAGTGCCACAATCTTGATTCGAACCACAGGGGATAAAATTGAATTTCCTGATGAACTGCATTGCAGACGTTTTATGCTGGAGTTTCCCCTTGATGTTCCTTTGTTCAGAAAGGCTACTTCAAGCGGTAGAGTGCCCTCTGAGGTCGCAATGCTCTCCCACCGGTTTCCAAAAACAGCCTTTTCTGTTGTCTGGTGTGTGTCCACTTAGTCATTTGTTCTTTTGCTTGGCCAGGTTGGGCTGCAGACAATGCAGGAAGAGATTGCTGGGAGATGATACACAAATATCTTTCCCGGTCCAGTTGTTATGGAATCCAATTACCTTGCCAACTGTCTCTTTAAAATGATGGTGGGGAGAAGCATTTCACATCATATGAATACATTCAGGTAAAATGGACTCAAAAGCCCCCCTCTCTCTTATTTTTCTTCAGGGAGAAAAAAGATCAACTGTTTTCTGAACTTCAACCAGGACTTGATGGAAATTGGAAAGCACTGCCTGCAAGCAAAATAAAGCATGGTAACCTTAGACTTATCTATATATGGCCAGAATATGAAGTAGTTTCCAGGTAAAGGGAGAAACAAAACACCAGCAGGAGTTATATAAAATACATTAGCACTTTGACCATATGTTGCTGCTGCTGTTGATGATCCAAGTAGAAAGATAAGGCTATTTTGATCAGCTCCATAAAGTATTTCAAAAGGAGAACTACATATCTGTTCTGCTTAAATGTATCCTTGTGATGGTGTTTTTTGAAATGAGCACAAGTGCTATACGCATAAGATATAAAAAGAATCTGGTGGCACATCATAAAGCCTTCAGATAAATGAAGTGACATTCTCTGTGTTCGCATTATATAAACATATGGATTATGGCAGGGATAGTTTGGTAAACAGTGGGGGGAAAGGTAGTGAGAATTTAATGCCTTAAGCCTTAATGTTCTGGGTTTGAATCCCCATGTATTTAGTCATGGCAGTGGTACTGAATTGGAGTACTTGTCTCTTTCCTCTCTTTCAACACCTAGGCAAACACAATATGGCACTCTTCATGTGGGGAATTACTGAACCCATTAAATTTGGCAAGTATAGATGGAGGAGAACTTGGTTTTCATTTGGCGTTTGAAGGATTTACCAGAATTCTCAAATATTTTCATAGGAAAGATACAAAGAACTGAAAGCAGAAGAAAGTGAATTTCAGTCACATCTTTCTAAGCTCGATTGATTTTACATTTCATGCAGTGTCTCCTGCTACCTCTTTCCAATGTAATACTTTGAATCATGTAACTACACTGGCTTCTCCCTTAGCACAATTCACAAAAAGAATAAGATCAAGAATTCTCTTCCTCATTCCTGGGTTATTGCACCTCTTAAAAGCATTTCACAATCTGACATAATCCTTTTCCTTTTCCAGCTTTTGAAAACATTTGTTGCAATTGCCATTAGTATAACAAGCTTCAGAAGGAGAAGTGACAAAACTTTTTAAAGTGTTTAGATAAGGAAACAAAATAAAATTGTAGAATAAAAGAGTAAAGAAAGACATCTAATAAGTTGTTGATGATGCTGTGTGCCTTCAAGTTGCTTTCAGCTTAGATGACCCAAAGGCAACCCTATCATGAGGTTTTCTTGGCAGGTTTCTTCAGAGGGGCTTTGCCATGAGCATCCTCTGAGGCTGAGAGATTGTGACTTGCTCAAGATCATCCAGTGGTTTCACATGGCTGAACCTAGTCTCCAAAGTCATAATCCAATGCTCAAACCACTACACCATGTAGATGTCCTCACTTTTCTTATCTTTCTTATTTTTCATTTTTCCTGCCACACCTGACCATTATGTATCTGACACTGTCAAAATAGACAGCAAAGGCTTGCATCTCCAAAAAGTTCTCTAGTTCCCAGTTTATGGGATCCCTTTAGAACAGGGGTGGGAAAGTGTGGTCCCCAGGACTATTTTAGTGGCTGCTGGAGCCTCACGTGGTCAAGAAAATAATTGTTCTAGGATGCCCTGCAAAATGTGTTCTAGGATGTGTGGAGGACATTTCCACCATGTTTGGAGACTCTTTGGGCCACCAGGAATCAAAAGCATATCTTGCAAAATCTTTCCTCAAAAAAGCGTTTTGTCCTGCAATGCTGGAAAATTTCCAAACAAAATGCAAGGGGTGCATTTCCACCACATTTTGACCATTCCCTGTGCCAATTTAAGCCCAGGAGAGGCCAATTTTTGAAAGAATTGAATGGGAAATTACTTCTGTTTACTTTCTGTGGATAAAAAGGACTTTTCTGAGCCTAAAATGACACAGGGATGTTCCCAAACCATAGTAAAATGCCCCTATACCTACTAGCTTATTTTAGAGGGCAAAATTATTGTTTTTCACAGGACAGGTGCAATGGAAAGATGTGGACCTCCAAGCTCTTCTAAGGGGCTAATGTAGTCCCCTAGCCTTCCATAGTTGCCCACTTCTGCTTTAGGTAGTCCAACCCTGATGCAACACCAGTCCTGATTTTGGTGGGCCTCTTCTGTGGATCGGATCCTAGACCAGTTGGAGTCCAATTCAGCCTGAATACTCACATCAGTTGTGTGCTCACAGAAAAAGTCCAAGTTTTGCAGAGTTTTCTGAAAGTCTGGCAAGGCTGCAGCCTTATAACGAAAATAAATCCCAAAATTACTCAGCCTCTGGTTTCATTTGTCTCTTGTGCAAAATAACATTTTAATGATGGTTGGAGTTTTTTTAATGATAGAAATTTAGGCCCATTTCCCTCCTCTTTCTGGGGAATGGATGATGACACCATGTGTTGAGCCCATTAGTTTTGAGGAATGAACAATAAGGGAAGGCCAAGAGAAGAGTGGCTAACTGTGTGGGTTCCTTCTGGCTGATGAAATTTCTCCCTTGGCAATCATAACACAAATGCAACCATATTGCTCTGTGTTTCGTCTTTTGACAGGCAGGCATTGTGGCGTGATCTTGGGAGCGGAACGATCAAAATGATAAAAAAGAGCATGAATGTAGCATCAGATCGTATAATGGCCCATTCTCTCCAAATGTCTATCCTATGCATCTGATGGTCAGACACTGTGCTTCAACTGTTTAAAGGTGATATGGTTACTGTTCCTCGGCAGTTTTGTGTTTGTTAAATTATGCATTGTTTAACAGATGGCTTAGCAAAGATTGGAGCACTTCTTTAGCTCTAAGTAGGATGACAGAGTAGGTGTTTTCTAGACTTCCGCATAATAAGCCCTGCCATTTCCTTTCCCCATTGCTCTCTTTGCAATGTTGGCTTTTAGATATTTTCCCCCTTGGAATATGATGAGAAGTTTTTGTGTACTCACACTATGTCTTTTGCCTGCAAAGAGCTGTAATGAGGTATAAGCAAATCTGCCCAGTTTGATTTCGATGTTTGCAGCATCCCATTTGATTTTTTGCATCAGTCTGCAGGGATTTGATGGTGAAGGGGCTCAACACGGGCAAGTATTGATTTTGCCTACTTGCAGGTATTTGCAGAAGGAGGGTAAAATACTTTTCCAATCCATTATCATTCACATA